AAAATGTGCTATTTTGAATTGACTTCCAGTAAAAGTCACTTTTGAAGCTATAATTTTTTGGCATTTGACGCCACTAATAATAATGGAACGATACTCGCGCCAACAGCGTATTGAAATCATAAAAATTCACTATAAAAATTTTATTCAAAGATTATTTTGACTGACAACACCCATTTCCACCTCCATGACTACATCAATAAGCAAAACTCTTACATCTGGAGTTTGAGAAAACCCAAAATTTATTTTGTTGAAAGCCCTCTCTGCCCTCAACGTGTATATGTTTGGTGCTGTTTACCGTCTGGCGGGATCATTGGATCTTACTTTTTCGAAAATGAGACTAGAGCAACAGTTACGATGAATGGTTTGCGCTATCAAAAGATGATTAATGATTTTTTTGTAACCGAAATGGGATGGTATTGGTCTGGACAACGTGTACATTCAACAAGACTGCGCTACGTGCCACACAAGCACCCAAACCGATCGATCTTTTAAGGGAAAAGTTTCTGGATGGTGTTATCTCTTGAAGAGGTGATCACAATTGGTCACCGAGGTCTTGTTACCATACGACTTCTTCGTTTGGAGCCACGTGTATGATGTGGTTTCCGCCAATAGTCCAACGTCGATTGAAGATCAAAGATGGAATTGGTGAAGCTATTGAGGTCATACAGCAGCCACTTTGCGAGTTAGTGATGGAAAATTTCATAAAAAAGAAGCGTAACCATGCGGGCGAAAATGTGGCTTTCCATTATTAATGGCATATCTTTTTCTTTACATTGAAACAAACATCTATTAATCACAGCTTCATAACGTTCCCCACTGACTGTAAAATCATGACCGGCTTTACTTTTGAAGATATATGGAACAATGATTTCCTCTGCCCATAGAACCCATCAAAGAGTGACTTTTAGAGTATTTAACGGCGTCTCGACCCCAGCTTGTGGATTATCATCAATTGAAATTGGACAATGTTGTTTATTAACGTACTCATTGAACCAAAAGTGAGCTTGAGCTCAGCCTTGAAGAGCAAACTTTACTACTCAAAATCGGAATGGGACGACATCTTGTTTTCGGTTCATTCATGCTTCATGATCGCTCCACTTCAATTCTTGCAAGAGTTGGATTTCGTGAGCTCGCAAAGTTTTCCCTAATACGATGGATTGGCACAGATTAATTATTGCCCATTTTGGAGGATGAATTCTTTCGGATCTTCAGCGATTCACTGCTAAAGCAGTAATAGCTTCTTCAGTGCGCACTGCAAATAACTCTGATGATAGTGGTGCGCAAGCGATTCATGGTTGCTCGAATTACCGACTCTGTTGGGTGACCGTCGCGTAAATCGAACCAAAATTAGTATAAATCAAGTAACAGTTGTCAAAACGACCAACTCCGAAAAAAGGAATGCCGTGTTCAAAGATGTCCATTCTAAAAAACAACCTTTAATTAGATAGGCCTAAATGTTGATGCCAAATTATGTAATTTGAGGCATTTGAGCTTAAGAACTAGTCAAATTTTGTTCGCGATTGCTGAGTGGTTAGCAATTAGTACAAAGTGGAGCTGAAGCTAAGCCGAGAATCACTTCAGCGATTACAAGGCGTCATTTATTTCCTTGAATAAATAAAGTGAAATACATAAAAAATGGCTTACCATAACTTAAAAAATAACCAGTTTCTGTTGCAATTCACAAATGTAGCAACACCAACAATATGCGCTTGTGTCTGACAGCCTTTGAAATTAGAACATTTAGCCGTTACTGCTACTACAGTTACTTAGCTTCAGCCTGCCACCATACAAGTGTTCAATTCCAGTCGCTTAGTCATTCTACTATATTTTAAGACATATTTTATAACATCTTTTTATGGCCTACAAAATGAAAATTGGTTGGAAAAAACTGCAGCAAAGCGCATCTGAGTGATTGTTGCAACAAGTTTACAACTCCGTTGTGGCCTGCTTTATACGCCATGCGGCAGTGACCAAATTGAGTAGTATTAGTCAAAAAAAAAATATGTATGCACATTTGTATGTTTGTATGTATGCACGAATGTACAAATATGATTAGTTTTGTGCATGTTTAGCGTTGTAATATTTATTTTATTGTTTTTCTTTTGCAAACTTTACTTTGGCTTTGAATTTAACTGCATTAATGCTCTTAAATGCTTATAACGGTTTTCCGCTTAATCATTCCATTTGCCGCCATCGTCACAATTCAGCGAATGCGACATTCACCGAACTACTACTAAAAAAGTACTCCCCTCACTCACTACACGCCGTTCACAAATCGGCGCGGTGAGATGACCCTGATGCCATGAAAATTGTTGTTTTTTTTTTGTCTTTATCTTGCCTCCAGGGTATCATTACTAGCAGTGAGCAATCAAATAGTAAAGTGAAGAGCAATATACATATATATATTGTATAAAATGTATAATGAAATTTAGTGGATTTTTTAGTAAAGATAAAAAAATAAAAATAATAAAATATCTTTTTTCGTTTTTCGTTTACGTCTCAGTTTTAGACGAAGCCCAAAGTCCTTGGCGGGTTGAAATTCCGGGTCGTTGCGGAAGTATTGTCAACCTCTGCACCTCTGCAGTTGTTCACATTGAAAGAGGTTTGTTTAGAGATTAAGTCGAGAACTGAGGTCTCTTCTTCAATATTCCACATAATTTCTCAACAAAAACTAAACCGAAGTATCAACCTCAAGAAAGAGATATTTTATTGAACATTTTTATGGCACGAAATATATTTTTAAAGTAGTTTTTTAAAATCATAGTTTAAAACTTGGACTATAACGTAAATTATTGTTGAGGAAACATAATTCTCCAGTTGAGAAAAACCTTGTTCTCGGGAGAGTTTTTTTGCTCGCGGAATGAGAGAGTGGTAGGGTAGTAAATTGATTCGTAAAGAACGGGTTTAGGGACTCACCATTAATAAAATACGAGGTTTCGTTGTTATTAATTAGACAGTTGCTCTTTGAGCTTGAAAGACAACTCGTAGAAATAGTTGGAGTATACGATACAACCATTTTTAGAATCATTTAAGAGAAAAGACGGGGGAAAATGGACGAAGTGAGGCATACTGCCTTTGAACGACAATGCGCCCATCCACAAGAACCTCGTTTCGTTGACTGTCCTGCATCAGATGGGTATTGATATTTTGAAGCGTTTGGTCTTTGTTAGTCGAGAGGACTTTACTTTTCCAATTGCCTACTCAGTCTAAAGTTTCAACTGTTGGCAAGAGTGATTCTGCGTTCCAGGCTAAAAATGTAGTTGATAGTTGTAACATTTCAGCTGGTTCCAAGATAGGCAAAATTATCTACGACATCGAAGTTATAACTGACAACAGTGACATGAAAGCCGAGTCGCAAATGCGATGACTATTTGTTTGATGGCGGGAGATATTCCGTCTCGTCCTTGTTTTTTTACCAGCCCCATAAATCCTTCGCATCCTTAACAGGTTTAGAGAAAGCAGAGGTCACGGCGCGGTTGTTGTGACCAATAATGTCAATTTCATCGGCGTACGCCCGCAGTTGTACACTCTTATAGAAAATTGTACCTTCTCTATTCAACTCTGCAGCTGTCTGAAACCTCGTTTGGTACCGAACAGCTCGAAGAGATCTTTTACAATTCGTACTGTGCTTCTGGTGTTGTCCAACGTAAGTTTGCATAGCCGATTAAATTTTGCAGGAACACCAAATACAGCATAAAGGCCACTTGTGCTGTCGAAGGTTGCTTCAAAACGAATGAAAAGCGGATGTGTCGATCCGACTTTCACTGTTCTTTTCAAATATTTTACTCATGATAAATATTATATTTGCTCAATGGTTGATTTACCAGATCTAAAGCCATACTAGTAAGGTTCAATCAGCTGTTGACGTCGGAATTAAGTCATTAACACAATAAGCTCTATGGGATATTGAGGAGGCTTATCCCACAATAATTGGCGCAGACTGTAAGATCACCCTTTTTGTGAACTGGGGAGAGCACACATAGGTGCACGCTTTCATCATGCCATAATCTGCAAAAAACTGATGCATGCAGATGCCAGCTCTTCACAGCAATTTTTGAATAGCTCAGCTATTTAGCACTCGGCTCCAGCTACTTTGTTGTACTTTAAACGGGCTACTCGAGTCGGGCAATCGAACATCTTTTCCATCATTATCTATTGCGGTTTCGGGTTTCATTTTCACTGCGATTCAGCTGGCTGGAGAAGAGTTCCCTCCATAAATACAGTATGCTCTGGGAGAAAACGTGTTGAACATTTTTTGCATGGCTTCTATGAGTAAATGACTAACTTCGACTGCCTCCATGAGCAAGCTTTTATTTATTATTATTTTTTCCTTTCATTTATGTTGACTAGCCAATTTTGCTTGCTTCTTTTTCCCTTTCTAATGGCGTAAAATAAAATAAATCGACCTCAATTCAATGACCTCGGCTTTTCTGCCGTTATTTCTATTGGTTCAAATGGTAATAATGATGCCACTGAGCGCTTTCGTATTGCTTTGTATTGGAATTTTATTTGTTTATTTGTGTTTTTATTTTCTTTTCGCTCCATTGCTGCTGTTTATTTAGTTTCTTCTCTTTTTTTTTGTGGAATAAATGTTTACCATAACAACGTCAGCTTGTTGTTTAATGTTGTTGTTGTTGTTGTTTTTTATTTAGTTTTATTTTTCTTGCGAAATCGCATGACAAGCGCCAACAAAATTTGATTGGATTTGAAGTGGAAATATTTACAGTAAATTGGTAACGGCATGTGAGGGTGTGCTGCTGATTTTACAAATAAAATTCACTTCCGCTGAAAATATATGTATTACTAATTTCATATGATAATTGCAATCAGTGCTTAGCAAAATAAATAATTTTTCTAGAAAATTTAATGATTTATAGACAAGATCATTCCATATTCGATTCGACTGGCAACGCCATATCTACGATTATATGACCTTTTTTCTTCTATTTATGTTTGAGATTTTTTAATTTTAATTTTTTCTCTTTCTTCCTCCTTTTCAGATAAGCACAAAACGTGTATCCACACAACAATAACAAACAAAAAATGTCTAATAAAAAAGCAATCACTGTTTTTTGAGGTTGAAAGGTCTCGTTGTGAAGGTCTTTGTGTAAGCAACCGTCGACGGATCGATCGAAAGCGATTGAGTTAATTTAGCAGCTGTGGAGAAGGTGTTGAAGTGCAGCAATAATAATCATCTATTATTCGCTGTAATCAACGCGCGAAAAGGAGTCTTAGAAGAGTGAGAAGTGCAGTGAAAAGAAGGACAAGCGAAAAGAGGAGAAGTTAAGCAGCGATTAACAAAACTGTGAGTACTAAATAAGTGAAATAAGTTTTTGTGAGTCGTGTTTATTCGCTACTCTAAAAGAATTCTTTCTTTTTTTGATACCTATCATTAATTCAGAAATTCTTTAGAAATATTTTAGGTCTATCCTATACTCTCTTGGAGTCTGTATTCTGTGACACTTTGTATAGCACAAAGATGTATTTTCTTTGTGGTGTCTTTTATCCACCTACCGCTATATAACATCTATTTTGCTGAGGGAGAGATATAGAGAGAGAGAACGTGCATTCACAGGTCCCTTTCCTACGTTTTCCCCAAGCTCAAAATCAAAGTCAGTAACTTTCGTAAATAGGAACTTGTTGGTTCCCTTAAAATAGCCAGTTTGTACCTCTAGCGCATTTTAGACTTTAATATGTATATCATGGCGCAGCTCTATTAACCCAAATTAATTTTTAACTCAGCTGTAATTGGAAAATTAGCACTCAAACTTGCTCTTGAAAACTTAATCCAGATTAAGAAAGCGCTGAAACAGATGCAATGTGCCTGTCTACATAACATAACAAGCACTGACCTGTATCAGGCCAAGGAAATGATTTTCGGCCGAGATCCGCCTACATATGTGTGTTGTGCGCCTTGATGTTTCTCCTAACTAATGGTGGGACCTATAATTTATACTAACCCGCCTCCGAACGAACGCTGGATTTTTATGAGTTTTTTTTTTTTTTTTTTTTTTTTTGTTAGAAATACACTTGGAGGGCTTGACACTCGCTTCCGAGAGGCTCGCAATTAGAAAAATTAATTTTCTGTAATTTTGGATGCTTTGTCAGACCAAGACTAGAAACCTGGCCTTCGAAATAGTAGTAATCCCTATTAACCACTTGGTTATTGCGGATTAATTAGCATATAAGTAAGGCAAGAAAAGCCTAACCGGCTAAAGGGTTTAGACAATTTGATCCAGTCTTCTAACAGTAAAAAACATGGCGGTATATAGAAAATAAAAACAGAATTTATCTCAAGGGAACAATACGACCGAGAAGCATAAATCTTCGAATGCCAACTACTCCTTTCCGAGCAAGGAAAATTGGATGGAGTGCAGAGGTATTAATAATTGTGAATTTGTTTGCATTTATAATGAAGGGCTTAAGTGTGAGGCACGCGCAGAACCCTTCTTCATCTGTGGTTTCTCTAATAAAGAAGATACTTCCAAATTCAATGGCTGAACATCTGTCTTCAAGCAAATAAAGGTGACTTTAGTTCAGATGCAAATTGGGCGACCCCTTGGATAGGGAAGTCTGTTAGGTTTGTTATCGACAGCTAAGCGTAGAATATAAAGCAATTTTAACGCGAGTTCACTGTTATCATCTCTTAGTACTCAAAGCATTTCCAGTGTAGCGTGTGTTGTAGTTCAGCGTGGATGGCAGACAGATGCGCAAAGTACCATAAGTCTTTCGGAAAACTCTTCTCCCGAAAACTCTAAGCGCAGACTCATCGGATGTTGGCATCGTTCATGCCTCCACACTTTACAACAGGACGAGTATGATGAAAACCACCACCCATCGCAGGTAACGAGCTCGAGCTACCTCGAGAGGCCCGTGTGAACTTAGCTCAACTTAGGTCTGGATACTGTAGCAGGTTAAACTCTTACATATCCAGACTCGACTCCAGCATATCCAACATATGCCCTGCATGTGGAGAGTCTCCGCTCGATACTAACCACCTCTTCACATGCTCCCTTAAACCGACTCATCTAACCCTCCTCCCCTTGGGTCCAATCCCATCGAAACAGTTCGTTTCCTGGACCTCCCATTAGATGACCTCTACGCCTTAGATTAGTGAAACCTGTGCCTAAGTGGGTCTAGCGAACCGCTACAACAACAACAACAACTCGAGTATGATGAGCGACTTGTAGAGTTTGGTCTTCGTTCGTCGAGATAAAACTTTTCAATTGCCTACTGAGTCCAAAGTATCACACGTAGAAAAGAGTTATTCTGCGTTGGATTTCAATGCTGAATTGTTATTAATGTTAATGCCGGTCCCTAGAAAAATGAAATTACCAAAGTTCTCAGAATTATGATTGTACACAGTGACGTAGAAGTAAAGAAGCAGAAGCTCTAATACCTTGCAGCATTCTCTCCTGTAACTGATGTCATAAGAGTTCTAGTTTGATTCTTTGGGCGATGAGCTCGATTCTGTTGATTAATGTCTTTTTCCAATACAGATCTAAATTTTTTTTACCTTTCTCTACTCTCTGTACGAAAGTCCTTACAAAGCAACTATTTTCTCAGTCCTTCCGTTATTCGTTCCATTATTGAGTGGCCTCAGTTTTTAATCGACCTTGTTTCAACCATTCTGCCTGCAACCAGATGGGGACCTCTGTAATATTGCTTCAATGTAATATGTAAGCATTAGTATACGGATATAGTAAGCGATTTCCTTTGTTATTTATTACCAACAACATATATGTAGATATGTCTGTATATGTTATTAAAATATATATTTACAATACAATACATAAAGTGTGGTAACTGAGTCATCGCCAATTAAATTAATTTTTCTTTTTCAAAGAAAACCTGTATTGCCATTCAACAACCTGTCCGTCGTTGAGTCATACATATTACATAGATATGTATGTATATACATATATATAACTAAATTGAGTATGAAATATAAAAACTTACACATTAATACCTTGACAAGCTTAACGAATGAATTGATGTTACCAAATATTCAGTCATTAACTATTTATGGCTTGTCATAATTTTTGAGGTGCTCATGAACACACACTATACATACTGAAATAAATTGAAAAGTGTCCAAAACTCTAACAAAACTTTGGGAGAAATTTTCATTCTAAGTAAAAAGTTTTGTTTCCGTGAGTTAGAAAGTGATGTTAACTACTTTGAGGAAAGATTTCGTTTATCAGTTTTTAACTTGTAGGAAATACGTACATTCGCAAAAGTCTGCAAATGCACATATTTATATTTGCCTTAGTTTGGATATATATGAATAACAAAGTTTGTAGGAAATTCACTTCCTGTTTATGTGCTTGCTTACCATCTTCTTCTTTCCATGCCGTCTTGCGCTCACTCATCGCTCACCACCCTCTCCAATGGCCTTGTAAAGGTTTTTTCTAGTCAGATATTTCTATCCTTCCTCAACATACCGTACATTATACATACATATCTATGTATATATGTATTAGAAAGCAGCAGCCTAGTCGCAAACCTTACTCAGAGGTCATACTTTCTGTGTGTAAATAAGTTTTGATTTCTATTGTACATTCTTTTTACCTCCAAATGGCAATTAATGAACCTACAATATTTTTCATAATTTTTTTTTTTGGTTTCTTTTTTGTTATGTTCCTCTCAGCTGTTACTAAAATACATTGTATTTGAATATTTTTTTTTCAAGGCGACTACACGTAGTTTTCAGATCCAAAGTTGCCTATATATGTACTCTTATATACTGTTTTCAGCAAACCTTCATCGGTTGTTAATCATTTTCAAGGAAATTTTCTTTTATTTTGTAGCTGTTATTTTTGTTGTTTTTTGTTAGTGCATGTTTTTCCGTGTTAGGAGCTGTAGACATGTACACGTGTATCTGTTGGTCAACTGGTAGCCTTGAAAAATGAACAGCTGATTGATATTACTGTGAATGTGCTTGTTCAATTGGTTTTGCTGTCTATCTCTCCCTCGCACACTTCGTGAAAATCACAAAATTTATGGACTCTTAATAAGTTTAACACAATTGTAATTTGATTAGAAAGAAAATTTCCAAGTCACGTCGATGCGCAGACTATATTGAAATAGGATAGCAACGTTGGCCGGGTCTGCTTCTTCTTCTTTAGTGGCGTAGATACCGCTTATGTGCCATATTAACTACAAATCGCCAGTGAGATATACCAAGTAAAACTAAATAGATCGCTCTCCATCCGATCTTTCCAACGGAGCCTCTTCTACTGGCTCCACCGGCGGGTACTAAAACAAACTTTTAAAGCTGGAGTACACATATCCGCACCACAGGATCTAGCTAGGGTAGCCGCTGTCTAGTAATAATCTGTCATCGCATATCTCATACCGTTCATTATAACATCGGCTGCGATGTTCGTCGTTGTCTATGACACACTTTTCTCTCGTAGACTGCCATGGTCACTTCATCGAATATTTATATTGTCCACACCTTAGCACCATTTAGTAGGACCGGTATCACTTACGACTTGTAGAATTTGGTTTTGGTTCGTCGAGAGAGGACTTTAGTTTTCAATTGCCTACTCAGTCCAAAGAAACATCTATTGATAAGAGTGATTCTGAGTTGGATTTCATGGCTTTCCCCTAAATAGACGAAATTATCTACAACCTCGAAGTTCTGATTGTCAAAAGTGACGTGGGAGCCGAGTTGCGACTGCGATGACTGTTGGTTTGATGACAGAGAATATTTTATCTAGCCCTCGTTCACTACCAGACCCATACGCTTCGTTTCCTTGTCCAATTCGAAGAAAGCAGAGCTCTTGGCGCGGTTTCTGCCAATCAATATTATCGGCGTACTTAGGTACAAATCATCGGGCATACTTTCGTCCGACCTTTTGAAGTTCTTGGTAGTCGGTCAAACATCTAGTTAATCGTCATCTATGGGAGAGTCGGATTCACCATTTTCACTGCGATTCATCAGGCTGGAGAAGTGTTCCCCCCATAAATTCAGTATACACTGGGCATCAGACGGTAGATCATCTCTTTTCGGGTCCTACAGAAGCTTGCGCTGGTCTAGAATTTTGAGATAAGATACATGTATCAGCTCGTATATCATAAATTTGCTAAGAATTTGTTGATCTTCTTGATTTAGATTTTAATGCGTTTTTTATCTTCAATATTCTTTTTTCACTGAAACAATCAGAGATTCTCCATCGTTTCTTTAATAACTGCCTTATGTAAAGAGATACCAAAATATATACATATATTTTATTATATTTTCAGACTCAAATAGATGTTGGTTTTAGACCGTGACCAAAGACTTGCTTTTGCAATAAG